TTTCCAGATTGTTTATCGATGCAAGAGCGATTAACAATCTAATGGTAGCTATTCTAGCTACCGGTGCATACGTATCAAAGAAATCGATACCTTGTTTTTGTCTAAAGCCTTGAGCTACTAGACGAGCCTTGAACTTATCAATAGTTCCATCGACTCTCATCTTCTTTTTGAAGATCCATTTGCAACCAATAGGTTTACAACCCGGAGGAGGATCTACTAAGACCCATGTGTTGTTACTCATGATGGAATCCATCTCATCATTTATCGCTTCTTTCCAGAAAGCGACATCTCGTGATTTCATCACTTCATCGAACGTTCTAGGATCTTCCTCGATATTATATACGTAAGCAAGTTGAGTCACTACCGACTCGTTTGTACCTTCCACTAAGTACATCTGAAAGTCCGAACCAAAGGACTTCTCTTTCCTTATACGTTTACCTCTACGAGGTTCACCTTGTCCGTTATCTTGATCGATTGCTCGATTACTCGAACTAGGTACATAAATAAGTGGTTTATCCACCGAAGAAAATCGACTTTCGTCGAACAATGCATCTCTCGACTCAATAACCGTGTGAACGGTAATGTAGTCGTTTGGTTCTATGACATAGAACCTATAAGCTTTGCTATGTAAAGCATAACCAATGAAGATGCATTCTACTCCTCGATCACCCAAAGTCTTTCTCTTTGGTTCTGGAACTTTTACAATTGCCCGACAACCCCAAATCCGAAAATAATTCAGATTTGGTTTTCTCTTGTACCATAGTTCATATGGGGTAACCTTGTTCCTTTTCGATGGAACTCGGTTTAAAATATAACAAGCCGTTAACATGGCTTCACCCCAAAATCTCTCGCTTAACCCCGAATATGAAAGCATGGAATTAACCCTTTCTTTCAAGACCCTATTTTTCCTTTCCGCTACACCGTTTTGTTGCGGTGTGTATGGCGCGGTGGTTTCATGAATCACTCCTACAGATTCAAAATATGTTGGATCATAGTATTCCCCTCCCCTATCTGTCCTAAGCTTTTTTAGCTTAACCCCGAGTTGTAACTCAACTTCGGATTTGTATGCCCTAAACCTATCTAGAGCTTCATCTTTAGCATGCAACAAAAATACACAGCAATAACGTGTGGAGTCTTCAATAAAAGTCGCTACGTATTTTTTGTTACCTAGAGACGGAGTTCCATGCAAATCACATAAGTCACTATGAACGAACTCTAAAAGTTCTGAACTCTGTTCTACGCTAGCAAACGAATTACGAGTTATTTTCGTTTTCATGCAAGTTATACACTTATCTTCTTTCATGGCACATAGTGGAATTAAGTCCATCTTTGACATAAGATTTATCCGTTTATAGTGAACATGTCCTAATCTAGCATGCCATAATGTAGAAACATTTGAATCAACAACATACAAAGAAGAAGTGCAAACTTTATTGATACTTAGTTTAAACATATCATTACATAGATAACCCTGCTCCACAAACACTCCTCCTTTAGAGAGGATAAACTTATCAGCCTCAAAGACCATCTTGTAGCCAAATCGATTAAGTACACAACCCGACACTAGATTTCTCCTTACATCCGGAGCAAAAAGAACTTCCCTAAGGGTTAATGTCTTTCCGGATGTAAGCAACAACTCTACTTGCCCCTTTCCTTGGACCTTAACCGTTGAGTTGTTTCCCATGTAAAGAACGCTTCCATCTTCTACGACTTCTAGAGTCTTGAAGAGCTCACGTTCTTTACAAATATGTCGAGTTGCTCCTAAATCGATCCACCATGATTGGTCACCCTCCTGAACATGATTTAACTCGTAAATCATAGCAACAAAATTCACATCCGAATTCGTCAAGTAACAACTATTGTTACCTTGAGTGTATTGGTCAAGGGCTTTATTTCCTTGACCATGAGCACTCTTCTTCTCGTGTTTACTCTTCCACGAGTAGCAATCCCGTTTGAAGTGTCCTGGTTTATTGCAAAACCAACAAGTCGCACTCGACTTTGACTTCTTCTTAGGATTGCCTTTGAAGGGTTTCTTTCCTTGTCTTTTGGCTCCACGTTTCTCATCCTCTACAATATTCATTGTAGTAGGAGGAGAAACGCCTTTCCCATCTTGTATCCGGAGATCCTCCTCGATGCGAAGATGTGTTCCCAATTGTTCAAGAGACATATCCTCTTTTTTGTGTTTCAGGAAACGCTTGACATCCTTCCAACTCGGTGGAAGTTTGTCAACAATGGATGAAACTTTGATGGCTTCATCCATCTGCAGTTTGTGTTGTACGAATTGACTCAAGATCCTTTGTAGTTCATGGAATTGCTCCATGACCGACCTCGAGTCCACCATCTTGTAAGAGTTAAAACTACTTACAAGAAATCTCTTGCTAGAGGCATCGTCAGAGACGTACTTAGCCTCCAGCGAATCCCACAAGGCTTTGGTCGTATCCATGTATTGATAAACATCAAAAAGTTCATCGGATATACCGTTAAGGATGTGGCCGCAACACACGTAGTTATCGTTGTCCCATTTGTTCCGTGCACGAGCCGCTGCCAATGTCTCCTCTTCGGTTTCTTCCGGCCTAGGAGTGCTTATCACGTAGACGACGTTCAACGTCGTCAGGAGGAAATGCATCTTTTTCTGCCACCTTCGGAATCTCACGCCCTCGAATTTATCGAGTTTATGAAAGTCTATGGTAAGACCTCTCACAGAAGTAGTCATCCTCGAGTGGATAACGTTTTTAGATTGTTAGAAATCTGGATATAAAAAGAAGAACAATAACAAAAAAGTAAATAGGAACCGGATAACTCTTCAAGGCGTGATACACTTTCCTAAAAACGTTATTCCGTCATATACGAGCAAAGGACTTTCCGGAATACGTCTTTGAGATACAATGAAGAGAGAAGTAATCTTAGTTTGCTTTACTAAGAATACAAACACAAGAAATTGCAAGAAGAAGATGAACAAAAGGCTTTTGTGGGTGTTTTGCAAGAACAACCACAAAAGTGCTCTCAAATCTCTCAAAAACAATTTAGATCTATTCTATTTCGTGTTAGGATGTCCAGGGGTGTTAATAAATACTCCAAATGTCGAAAGGTGTGAAGAAATCGGAAGTTTTTTCTGAACGGTCGCGATTTTTCGCTCAATCCGAACTGCTCAGAAAAAACGGGCTGCCCGCCCGTTTTGTCGAGCTACCCGCCCGTTTATGTCTGAATTGCTCAGAAAAAATGGGCTGCCCTCCCGGTTTTTCCGAGCTACCGCCCATTTATTTATGAACTTTATTCCTCAGAAAAAACAGGCTGCCAACTCATATTTTCGAGCTGCCCTTCCATTTTTTCTGAGATCACCTTTACGTTCAAAACCGAACGTAAACTCTTTCGACGTATCCTTAGCACTTAGCCAATTCATACCACGTCTTTTACAAGCATTTATCTCCTCTACCATACTTATAATACACGTGAAACATGAATCCTTTTGAGAGATTCTAAATTTCCATTCATTTACTCTAAAAATCAACAAATATTAGGCCTTCTTCATATCATAGCATCATGTCGTGTCTAAATGTGTTTCTTCATGCATGTTCGTCAATTTCTTCCGAGTTTTCATGCACGTTGTAAAGCTATCATTTAAATTTCTTCCGAGTTTTTATGCTTGTCAAATTCAGGGAAAAATTCCTAAAAAACCTTTAACTTGCAAAAAAAATATATATATATAAATAAACCTTCAACTTGTAAAGTTATCATTTAAACCTCAAACTTGCAACATGTAATTGAATAAAATCTCGAACTTGTAAATTGTTGCTCTAATAACCCGTTGATCGGTTTGACCACAATTTCAAATGATCGAAAAATTGATGTCAGCATATCCACATAACCAGTTTTAAATGATTTTTTGCCACATCAGTATTTTTTGGGTCGAAATTTAATCCGGTTTTGGATCAAAAAATCATTGAAAGTTGTTTACGTAGATACACTGACATCATTGTGGTCAAACCGGTCAACGAATTATTAGAGTAACAATTTGCAAGTTCGAGATTTTATTTAGTTACATATTGCAAGTTTGAGATTTAAATGACAACTTTACAAGTTGAAGGGTTTATTTGTATATTTTTTTACAAGTTCGAGGTTTGTTATGATTTTTTTCCAACTCGATATTATTCCCAACACGTGATGATGTGGCCAATGGCGATATTCCCATCCAATTTTTAACGATGTTAGGTTTGCGTGAGTTTTTGATAAAAATTACAAAAAATATAAAAATAAAAAATAATAATATATATACGTATATATATAAACGTACATAAATACAACTTATATATACATACATATTTAAACATATATACATATACATATAAAGTGGTGGACCCAAAATATTTTATAAATGGGATCACTAATGTATATACATATAAATTTATAAGTATAAACTTAATTTTATTGGGGGAAATATAATAAAATTTTATAAAATTTATGAAGAAAACAATTTTTTTACAAACTATCGATCAAGTGGGTCCACCATCAAAAGTCGATAGGAAGCCGAGTGATGAATTCAATTATTCTGTCTTACCAAAATGAATGAATTGAAGAGTGCCTCCGATTCCAGTTTGGATTTGGCTCTTGGCAGTGACATTCAAACCAAGATTTTCCGGTACAGACAAATCGGGGATGCAAGATTAGACCGGTTAAGGAAAAAGACAATTAGACGTTAATCTATTCCACATGCAGGGGGCTTACGTGTGCGGATTTTGGCTCTTGGCAGTGACACGTGTTCCGAGACAGGTGGTGATATGACAACGATTTTGGAATACCCACCTCTAAAACTAAATGATTCTGATTTTAGATTTTAAAATTTGATTTTTAATCTAAGGTATTTGGGGTTTAAATGGTAAACGGGTATATCAAAGTATAAAAATACAGGAAGAAATTTGATAATAATAAAAAAAAAACAATTTTGAATTTAAGGGAATTTCACATAAAAATATAGGACGAAATTGTAAATTTGTTTTAAATAAAAGTCTTACATGCAACGGTCATAAACCCACCCTCCGTATTCCCAAAATTCCCTTTCATCATCGACACTTTTTGATTCCTCTCTTCTCCGGAGGCGATTTTGCTCTAAAGCTCATGGCTACTTCTCGTGGAGTGGCCACTTCAAGGGACGTTCAAGCTATCGTCTCTAAACTGTCGTCGGATAAAGCCAAGAGTGGTGAAGTAAGCCGTTTTCTCCTTTTTTCGTTTCAAAATTAGCATTTCGTCATCGCTTTGCTCCGTTTCCTTTTTCTTGTCTTTGACTTCTTCTCTAGGGCTTCTGGGTTTGGTGATCGGATTGTGGGGAAAATCTGTCATATGGTTCGTTTGTGGGTTTCTTTGTAGTTTCAAAGAAAATTCTGGATATACGTGAGGAAAGATAGAATCTTGAACTGCATTAGCCCTCGATTCTCCTTTTTCTATATGCGGGTTTGGTTTAAATTGCCACCGCATCTCGATTACCTTGTCTTTTTGTTTTAGTTTCCCAGAATATACAAGAATCGGAAAAAGAAAATGGTATTTTCTTGTAACAAAAAATTGGCTCTTTGTATATTCTATGATTTCGATTCTAGTCAAGATTTCGTGATAGTTTTTAATGTATCATCTTGATATAACTTCAAATGTCCTTTTATTTTTATTTTTCCAAACGTGGATAAACGTTTAGAATATCTTGCTACCTCTTCAACAATGAAGTTGTTAGAGTTCCACCCATAACTCAACTAATACAGCTCTGTGGCTATACATCGTGTAACTCACAAAGTTGCTTTCACAGCTTTGATTAAGGTGTATGTGGTCACAGTCTCTAAGTACCGCACAGCAAATTCATAGCTACTGAGGCTTCCAGGGAAGACAAAAATATTAAAACTGTATTTGCAGACATGGTTTGACATTCAGACAATGAAGTTGTTGATGCTGTTTGGACTCTTGTCCATATTAGGTTGGTTGTGTCTTTCTTTATCCTTTAAGGTTTGCCTGTTCTTGTTTCTAAAAAAGGATACAAGTCTCTTCCTCCGTTGTTTTGAATGGAGGTTTGTATTGGGGATCCACAGATTGTTGTTTTCCAGCTTCCTAGTAAGCTAGGCTTGTTTCATGGTTCTCTCAATGAGTCGTGATATTGGTTCAAAATTCAGATCCTGTGCTGATAATGTCATATCTGATATAAACCTTACTGTGCAGGTGAAAGTTTTACATCACAAACCCTTCAGACGAGTTTTGCTATTCTTTGTTGGCTCAAATTTGGTGGTTGTGCTAAATTTTTTAATGTGTGGCCAGAACCTGCTTCGCTTGGTTGCAATGAATTTTGTAGTAGTCTCTCTCTAGCATCTGTTGATACATCTTTACTGGTGGGATTTTGTACCTTGTGCTTTCAGGTGGAGTACATCATTGATCTCGGGGACTGTAATGCTGTTCACATACACATTGATCAAGCCACCTCAAAAATTGTTCACAAAGATCTCGGAGTTGACTTTGATCAAGGATGAAAGCCCAAAACTCCTTAATGATGCCTTCTGCCTTCCTTAATTCATGCTTTAAATAAATAATTTTAGTTAAGTTTCTATTCTATTCAGCTTTTTCCTGATTTGACAGGTTCCGTTCAGGTTAACAAGTGACATAATTGATGGCGTGGACGACTTTTTTTAAATGTATTTTTACTTGCTTACTAATCGACTCTTTGTTTTTATTCGTTTCATCCTCTAATTCTTCATCTCTTTATTGACACGGTAAACATTTTTGGATGTTCATGGTACATATTTATTTTTATTTAGTGATGATTTGATCAGAAAATTGTTGTGTTCTTTATCATACTTACTCTCATAACCTTTCTTGTTGTGTTGCAGTTCATAGTAGATATGCAGTACAAAATTTCAGCCGCATGTCTCTATCAGCATACCCGTCATCATTTGGCTACCCTTGAAGTGCTTACTTGTATTTTTGGTTATAGAGCTTCAGTTCCGAGTTCCTTCAAGTGCACAGAATCCCAGATATTTTTTTTCTTCTGTTTTTTAACTTTGAGGTATCTGATGATATTCTTAGTTTTTCTTTTTCTCCACGTGTTATTTTTGTAGTTTTTGGTCTCATCTCATTATTGGTGACGTGCTGCATCAAAACTACACTTGTAGACACGGTTTGGCATTCAGACAATGAAGTTGTTGTTGCTATTTGGACTCTTGTCCATTTGTCTGCCTCAAATGAAGCAAGTAGTATTAGATTGGTTGTCTTTTTTTTTTTTTTTTTTTTTTTTTTTTCTTTTTTTTTTTTTTTTTGCATCCTTGGTGTCTTTTTTCTTTTTTAAGGTTTACCTGTCCATTTTTTTTTATAAAAAAATACAAGTCTCATCCTCCATTGTTTTGAACGTAGGTTTGTATTGGGGATCCACATAGTGTAGTTTTCCAGCTTCCTATGACGCTAGGCTTGTTTCATGGTTCTCAATCAATGAGACGTGATATTGGTAATTCTGATCTTGTGCTGATAATGTCATATCTGATATAAACCTTTCTGTGCAGCTGAAAATTTTGATGAGATACCTTCTCGACGGATCCTTAAAGATCATAGGTGTTACATCACAAACTTTTCGGGTGAGTTCTGCTATTCTTTGTTGGCTCAGATTTGGTGGCTGTGCTAGATTTTTCTAAATGCGTGGCCAGAACCTGTTTTGCTTGGTTGCAATGAATTTGTAGTAGTCTCTCTCTAGTCTCTAGCAACTGTTGATACATCTTCACTAGTGGGATTTTGTACCTTGTGCTTTCAAGTGGGGTTAATCGTTGATCGTGGGGATTGTCATGTCGTGAATATCTAGATTGATCAAGCCACAACATAAGTTCTCCACGAAGATCTCGGAGTTGACTTTGATCAAGCCACAACATAAGTTCTCCACAAATATATAATTGTACCTAAGTTTCTATCCTATTCAGTTTTTTCCGGATTTGCCATTTTCCGTTCAGGTTAACAAGTGACATAACTGATGGCGTGTGTGTAACAGGTGATGAAGGCGTGTTCTGGAGATGTTGTTAGTCGGTTATGTGGAAAAATAAAAAGGTGTTGGTCATGATTGTTGAAATAAATTGAACTGAACTACTATCCGGGGCGGAAAGTAAAAATATGAATAGGATACCGAATACATAAATCAAAATCCATCTAATTGCAGGTTTTTATACATGATCCTCTCTACCAATGGGCCTTGTCCCTCTTGAAGGCTTTGCAAAGGCAAAAGGTACTTCTTATCCTTAAATATGTTTTTGATAGTAAAAGAAGATATCACAATGCATGTGCATGCTTCCTTTGTGTGAAAGGTTACGTAGACTAGAGAACCTCATTTTAGATGATTTGCCGGGTGAAAAATGCCAGCAAAAAAGACTCTATATGGTATTAGTTATGTATTCTTACTTGTATTTGTAAGTTGGATCCTGCTAGGTGTTCAAGAAATTATTTCTCCAGTTCTTTGTAAATTAGTCCCATTCTTCCTGATTCTCTAGAAAGCATGTTTTATGAATTACTTCAATTGAATCGCATAAGCTTTTTGGGGTGTGCTGCTTTTTGTTTTGTTCGGACTTATTGCAACAGTATCAATCAGGATCTTCTTGTATTCTTGTTTGAAGTCATCTGTGTGATCTTTTGTAGGTACTTTGTGTAGTTTTATTTTGATATAAGGTGGAAATTTGCTCGCCAATGTAAAAGCTGCTAGAAACTTGCTCACCAATGTACATATGTAACAATGTCTGTTTTTTCTTCATTTTTGGTGTATCATAGAGTTCTGAACTCTGCTAGTTTTAGGTGTTCATATCATGGTCTATTGTGGGCTTTGGGTAAGCCTCTGATGAATATTTTTATGTTTATGCAGTAGGATCATTTTACACTGTGTTTCTTATCAGCTCATTTTTTTTGACAGGTGAAACAAATGGTGGAAATCTGATAATCTTGTTGAACTTAAAAAAAGGAGAGAGGTCTGATAATCTTTAGAAGTAGTTTTTGTTATCCTTTTTGCGGAGCCCAAAGAACATTTCTGAAGCATAGATTAAACTCTTTCTCTGCAGGATACCGATAAAAAGGTAACTTTACCAAGAGAAATCCGTAGTATTAATCAGTTTAGTGAAGAATGAGGAATGTTTTTCAAAGGACCTTACAATATTTTTTTTCCATTTACAATTTCTTTAAAGTTTCTAACATGCACTGTTTTATATGTTTTCAGGTGGCTAATGTTTGTTTCATTTGTTCTATTGCTTCCTGTGTACAGAACCTGCATCTCTTTTTTCCCGGTAAACTGTTGCATGTGCCATTCAAAAATAGTGGACGACATTCTTGAAGTGTAAAATTACTTGCTCACTAATCGACTTTTTGTTTTTTATTCATCTCGTTCACTACTTTATCTCTGTATTGACAGGATCAACAATTTTCCGCAGATAGGGTGTTCATGGTACATATTTGTTTTTATTTAGTGTTGATTTGATCAGAAAGTTGTTGTGTTGTTTAACATACTTACTCTCATAACCCTTTCCTGTAGTTTTACGATTCATTGTAGAAGTCCAGTATAAAACTTCAGCCGCATTTCGCCATCGGCATACCCTTCATCTTTTGGCTGCACTTGAAGTGCTTACCTGTATTCTTTGTCATAGAGCTTCAGTTCCTATTTCCTTCAACTGCTTAGAATCCCAGATATTTTTCTGTTTTTTTACCTAATGAGGTCTGTTTGAGATCTGATGATATTCTTAGTATTTTCTTTTTCTCCACGTGTTTTTTTTGTCTCATTATTGGTGCACGCTGCATCAACTGGGCCATCTCTAGCTTTGAATTTGCTCCACAAGGTTGATGCAAATTCGTCTCTTTATGATGATGTCAGAGTAGGTGTTCTACACGCAGAGTTAAAAATTCTGGTAAAGAAGTGCTATGTTTGGTTCCGCTGCATGGAGATCTTATTGCAGCTAATATATTGTAAGAATTGTCGAGAGATTTACTTTTTCTTTTTTGTCCAGCCTTATCAAGATTTGGAGCCTTTCCTTGGCATGGACATTTTTAGAGTCGTGTCGTCCACAAATTTCTGGTTGGGTTACGCGGAGTCTATTCTCCATGGAATCATCTGTTCAAGGTAGGTCCCTGTATTTCACATGAGTATGTTTTTCTTTACACTCGAGCACTAAAATGCAATGAGAAAATGTGAAATTATGTCGGGAATAGATCCTTACATTTTAAATAGGAGTCTTTGGTTTTGCTTATCTGAAAACAAAAAATATCAATAGAAAGAAAAATATCGGCTTGTTCCACTTCTTTTGTTCCTCTATTAAATCCTTTGCCTTTTTTATCATTTCTACTATGGGTCTGCATGGTTACCTGCACTGTTTAATGAAGCTTCTATGTTACTGTGATGGATAAAGATTGTGTTCTACTTTTTTTCCACGAGTTAATTCAGGATGACAGAGATTGTTGTCTTTTAATTGATATTGATATGTCTGCTACCTCTCTGCAACAATTAAGTTGATAGAGTTTCACCCATAACTCAAGTTACTCAACTCGTGCAGTTCTGTGGCTATATGTTATGTAAATAACAAAGTTGCTTTCACTGCTTTGATTAATGTGAATGTGATTGCAGTCTCCAAGCACTGCACAACAAGTTCATTGCTATTGAAGTTTCCAGGGACTATTAAAAATGCACTTGCAGACTCGGTTTGCGATTCTGACAATGAAGCTGTTGATGCTGTTTGGACTCTTGTCCATTTGTCTGCGCCAAATGAAGCAGGTAGTATTAGATTGGTTGTGTCTTATTTTGCATTCTTGGTGTCTTTTCCTTTTCCTTTAAGGTTTACCTGTTCTTTTTTTAATAAAAAAATACAAGTCTCATCCTCCGTCGTTTTGAAGGCAGGTTTGTATTGGGGATCCACAGAGTGTTGTTTTCCAGCTTCCTAGGACGTTAGGCTTGCTTCGTCGTTCTTTGTCAATGAGTCGTGATATTGGTTAAAAATTCTGATATTGTGCTGATAATGTCATATCTGATGTAAATATGATGGTGCAGGCTGTGCAGCTGACCTTCTCGACGAATCCATAAAGATCATAGATGTTGCATCACAAGCCTTCGGGTGAGTTTTGCTATTTATTGTTGGCTCAAATTTGGTGGCTGTGCTAAATTTCTAAATACGTGGCCAGAACCTGTTTTGCTTGGTTGCAATGAATTTCAGGTGGGGTACACCGTTGATCTTTGGGACTGTCATGCCATGAATATTTTGATTGATCAAGCCTCAACATAAGTTCTCCACAAAGATCTCGGAGTTGACATTGAACAAGGATTAAAGGCCAGGATTCCTTAACGATGCCTTCTGCTTTCATTAGTTCATGCTTTAGTGAAACAATTGTACTAAAGTTTCTGTTATATTCAGCTTTTTCCTGATTTGACAGGTTTCGTTCAAGTTTACAAGTGTCATAATTGATGCCATGGGTGTCACAGGAGTTGAACGCGTGTTCAGGAGATGTTTTGAAGAAACTTAGTCGGTGATGTGGACCAACGAAGAGGTGTTGCTCACGACTGTTGAAGTAAATCGAAATGAACCACTATCCGGAAAGTTAAAATATGATTAGAATCCGGAATACATAAATCAAAATCCATCTAATTGCAGGTTTGTATACATGATCCACTCTGCCAATGGGCCTTGTCCTCTTGAAGGCTATACAAAGGAAAAAAGGTACATTTTATCCTTAAATATGTTTTTGATTGTAAAAGAAGAAAACACAATGCATTTGCATGCTTCCTTTGTGTGAAGGTTACGTAGACTAGAGAACCTCATTTCATATGATTGGCCGGGTGAAAAATGCTAGCAAAAAGACTCTGCTTGGTTTTAGTTATGTATTCTTACTCGTATTAGTAAGTCGAATCCTGGTAGGTATACAAGAAATTAATTCTCCGGTTCTTTGTAAATTAGTCCCATGCTTCCTGATTTCACTAGAAGGAATGTTTTATGGATTAATTCAATTGAATCACATAAGCTTTGTCAAGTGTGCTGTTTTTTGTTTTGTTCAGATTTATTGCAACCGTATAAATCGGGATCGTCTTGTATTCTTTTTTGAAGTCGTCTGTGCGAACTTTCGTAGGTAATTTGTGTAGTTTTATTTCGATATCAGGTGGACCATGCCTTCTTTCTCTCTAGATAAAAAAGCTGCTAGAAATTTGCTCGACAATGTACCTATGTAACAATGTATGTTTTTTCCTCATCTTTGGTGTATCGAAGAGTTCTGAACTCTGCTAGTTTTAGGTGTTCATATGATGATCTGTTGTGGGCTTTGGGTACATCTCTGATGATTATTTTTTTTGTTTTTTTGTTTATGCAGTAGGATCATTTGACAGTGTTTCGTATCAGCTCATTGTTTTGTCAGGTGAAAAAAATGGTGGAAATCTATATTAAGCTTGTTGAACATAAATAAAGGAGATAGGTTTGATAATTCTTTAGAAGTAATATTTGTTATCCTTTTTGCGGAACCCAAAGAACATTTTTGAAACATAGATTAAGCTCTTTCTCTTGGGGATACCGATAAAAAGGTAACTCTATCAAGAGAAATCCGTAGTGTTAATCAGTTTAACGAAGAATGAGGAATGAATAAACTTGTATTTTCTATCGCTTCAATTTTCTTTGAGATCCTAGTTTCAGAGGACCTTACAATCTTTTTTTTCCAATTACAATTTGTTTAAAGGTTCTAACATGCACTGTTTGATATGTTTTTCAGGTGGCTAATGTTTGTTTCATTTGTTCTATTGGTTCCTGTGTACAGAACCTGCATATCTCTTTTTTCCCAGTAAACTGTTGCACGTGCCATCCAGTTGCTAGTTCCTTCAACTGCACAGATTCCTTGATATTTTTTTCTGTTTTATACCTAATGAGGTCTGTTTGAGATTTGATGATGTTCTTAGTATTTTTACCTAATTCTGGTAAAGAAGCGCTATGTTTGGTGTCACAGGAGTTGAACGCGTGTTCAGGAGATGTTGTGAAGAAACTTAGTCAGTAACTGAACCACTATCCGGAAAGTAAAAATATGAATAGGATACCGAATACATAAATCTAAACCTATCTAATTGAAGGTTTTTATACATGATCCTCTCTACCAATGGGCCTTGTCCCTCTTGAAGGCTTTGCAAAGGCAAAAAAGGTACTTCATATCTTTAAATATGTTTTTGATGGTAAAAGAAGAAAATACAATGCATGTGCATGCTTCCTTTGTGTGAAGGTTACGTAGACTAGAGAACCTCATTTTACATGATTTGCCGGGAGAAAAATGCCAGCAAAAAAGACTCTATATGGTATTAGTTATGTATTCTTACTTGTATTAGTAAGTTGGATCCTTCTTGGTGTACAATAAATTATATCTCCAGTTCTTTGTAAATTAGTCCCATGCTTTCTGATTTCACTAGAAGGCATGTTTTATGAATTACTTCAATTGAATCCCATAAGCTTTTTCTGGTGTGCTTTTGTTTTGTTCGGATTTATTGCAACCGTATCAATCAGGATCTTCTTGTATTCTTGTTTGACGTCATCTGTGTGAACTTTCGTAGGTAATTTGTGTAGTTTTATTTCGATATCAGGTGGACCATGCCTCCTTTCACTCGGGAAAAAAAAGCTGCTAGAAATTTGCTCGCCAATGTACATATGTAACAATGTCTGTTTTTTCCTCATCTTTGGTATATCACAGCATTCTGAACTCTGCTAGTTTTAGGTGTTCATATGATGGCCTATTGTGGGTTTTGGGTAAGTCTCTGATGAATATTTTTATGTTTATGCAGTTGGATCGTTTTACCCTGTGTTTTGTATCATATCATTTTTTTGTCAGGTGAAACAAATCGCGGAAATTTATATTAAGCTTGTTGAGCTTAAAAAAAGGAGAGAGGTTTGATAATTCCTTAGAAGTGGTATTTGTTATCCTTTTTGTGGAGCCCAAAGAACATTTCTGATGCATAGATTACACTCTT